CCGCAGCAGTAAGTGGAAGGCTGGGCTGCACGCCAGGCCGTCTGGCTGCAAGCCCACGATCCTGGCCTCTGCACATCCAGCTTCCAGAGGGGCCAACAGCAAGGTCTTCCCAAGAGGGCAATGCAGGAACCAGAGCCCTCCACCCACTGGGAGGAGACTCAAACTGGGGACCAAACTTCATAGACACTTGCTCCCAGATCCCAGAAGCAGCTCTGTAAAAAAAAAAAAAAAAAAAAAGAAGCAGCTCTGTAGGTGACCGTGGTGTGTCCTCTTTTCCACGGCTGAGGCATGGGGGGAGGGGGGCGGAGGAGCCATCTCTTCTTTTCCAGGATCTGAACCCTAGACTCACAGGGTCCAAAGGTCATCATTAACTTCTGGCTTGCCACCTGCTCCATCTGTTTTGTTTTGTTGTTTCTTTAATTGCAATAAAATATACATAACATGAAATTTGACATTTTAACCATTTCTGCATATACTGCTCGGTGGCATTCAGTACATCCCTGCACGTTGTGCAAACAGCACCAGCTGAGCCCTGCCCACCACCACTTGGCTTCCTGTCCGGCTACATCTGAGTGCTCTCAGCACCTGACGAGAGGGCTCACATGGTATTTGTTCTTTCGTGCCTGCCTGGCTTATTTCACTTGGCATAGAGGCTCCAAGGTCCCTTGATGTTATAGAATGTGCCAGAATTTTTCCGCCCATTTTTTATTTTATTTATTTATTCATGAGAGACACAGAATCACAGGCAGAGAGAGAAGCAGGCTCCATGCAGGGAACCTGATGTGGGACTCGATCCCGGGACTCCAGGATCATGCCCTGAGCTGAAGGCAGATGCTCAACCGCTGAACCACCCAGGCATCCCTCCACCTATTTTTTTTTTAAAGATTTTATGTATCCATGAGCGACACGGAGAGACAAGCAGAGAAAGAGGCAGTTGGAAAAGCAGAGCCCGACGCAGGACTCAATCCCAGGACCTCAGGATCACGCCCTGAGCCAATGGCAGACGCTCAACCACTAAGCCACTCAGGTACCCCTTGCCATCCAGTTTGACAGATAGGGAGGGAGAGAGCTGGGGGGGGGGAATTGTTAGCTTGTGCCTTAATGAGGGGGCTCCCAAGGCTGTAAGGGCACCAGGAGACTTGTCATGCTGGGGACAGATCTCAGAGGCTCCCTGATTTCAGAGATCAGTGACACAGCAAGACCAGACAGCAGCCCCAGTTACCGAGAGCTCATAAGTTTCATGAGGCAGAGGAGTGAGTGTCAACCAAGGGGTTTTTCACTCCACTGGTCCCTTCCTAGAATAATGCCTTTAAATGCATGCAGTAGGGGCACCTGGGCGGCTCAGTGGTTGAGCATGGGCCTTCAGCTCAGGTTGTCATCCCAGGGTCCTGGGATCAAGTCCCACATCAGGTTCCCTACAGGGAGCCTGCTTCTCCCTCTGCCTGTGTCTCTGCCTCTCTGTGTGTGTCTCATGAATAAATACATATAATATTTTTAAAAACGCACATAGTAAAACCCCAGGATTACAAGGGGCCCAATTATACTGAAATCCAGCCATCAGTGAACCACCACCACCACCCTCCCCCCGGTGGAATCTGTGACACAGTAATAAGGGCTGTTGTATCGAGACACTAATTAGAAAGAGCTAGTGGTGGGTCTAATCAGCGGTGAGTAAACAATCACTGGAAATCTCCCAAACAACTGCAATGTGGTGGAAACAGCCCTGATCCCCTCTGTGATGGTGACAGTGACACAGATCCCGGTGATGCCATTGTGCTCTGTTCACATTCACAGTGGATAGAAACCATGAAGTCTCAGTGAAGGACCCAGATGTCATTTTTCTCTCCGTGTCCAAGTTCACGGACCCTCCTGAATCTCATCTGAGCACGCTGCAGGCTGAGAAGCCCCAAGGGAGCCTTCTCAGGGTGGGGAGGGAGATGCCCCATGTCAAGGTTTTAGAGTAGGACCTGGCTCCTAGCTGTCATAAGGTTGGTCACACTAAGCCTCTGGCCCATTATTAAATATCTACGGTATATATACCATTGTACCTTAGGTGTGATCATGTATTCTAATAATATATTAGAATTATGTATAAAATGTATTATACACCTCTTTATAGAATACAGCTGACTTGAAGAACAGTGGGTTAGGGGGCACCTGGGTGGCTTAGTCGGTGAAGCATCTGCCTTTGGCTCAGGTCATGATCTCAGGGTTCTGGGATCGAGTCCCGCATCAAGCTTCCCGCTCAGCGGGGAGTCTGCGTCTCCCTCTCCTTCTGCTGCTCCCCCTGCTTGTGCTCTCTCACTCTCTCTGTCAAATAAATAAGTAAACTCTAAAAAAAATAAAAAAGAAAAAGAAAAAGAACAGGGTCAGGGGTCTCAACTCCGGCACAGTTGAAAATCCATGTATGACTTTTGACTCCTCCAAAATTTACCTTATAGCTTACAATTGACCAGAGGCCTTACTGATAACATAAACAGTCAATTAACACATATTTTGTGTATGTGTTCAACACTGTATTCTTACTATAAAGTAGCCAGAGAAAAAAAAATGTCATTAAGAAAACCTTAAGAGGGCAGCCCGAGTGGCTCAGCGGTTTGGCGCCAGCCTTTGCCCTGGGCGTGATCCTGGAGTCCTGGGATCAAGTCCCACGTCGGGCTCCCTGCATGGAGCCTGCTTCTCCCTCTGCCTGTGTCTCTGCCTCTCTCTCTCTCTCTCTCTGTGTGTCTCTATGAATAAATAAATAAAATCTTAAAAAAAAAAAGAAAGAAAATCTTAAGAGGATCACCTGGCTGGTTCAGTCGGTAGAGCACGCGACTCTTGATATCCGGGTCATGAGTTCAAGTCCCATATCAGGTGGAGAGATTAGTTAAAAAAAATTAAAAAAAATTTTTTTTGAATTGCAGTCCTTCAATTGTTAGCCACTCAAATCCCTTGTTAGGGTCATGCTAGCAGCTCTAATAAACAGACCTCAAAATCTATAATATGCTAGCCTAATAAAAGCTTATTTCCTTAAAAAAGGAAAATCACATAAGAAAAAATACATTTACAATAGTGTACTATATTTCTAAAATAAAATCTACTTCTATATGGACCTATAAACTTGTATGGTTCAAGGATCAATGGCATCTGTCTATTGATCAATTTATCCAACTGTATTGAGATATTTCAGAAGCTATACCATCCACCCATTTAAAGCATACAATTCGGTGGTTTTAGTATAGTCTCAGGATTGTGCAATCATCACAGCAATCAATTTTAGGACATTTTCCACACCCCGTTATGTACATTATCACATTCAACCAATTAAATATTCAAAGGAGTGCCTTTGGGGTACCGGGCCTTGTTCCAGGCCCCGGGGTGACAACAGTAAAGAAAACAGACCCAAGCCTCTACCCTCGAGGAGCTGACATTTCTACAGGGAGAGATTAAAAATAAGTCACATTGAAAATAAAATTGTAAAAAGAAGTAAAAATAAGGAGCATCTATAGTCTGGCTGATGGTGCTAAGTGCTAGGAAGGACAAGTAGGAAATGGGGTGGTGGGGGGCAGAAAGGGGGTGTCAGGGGAAGGCTTGCAGAGGGGGTCCCATCTGAACAAAGACCCAAAGGAAGTGGTCCTGTGTAGCAAGACAGATGGGGAGACTGAGGCTCAGAGAGGCAAAATAGCTTCCCTGAGGTTCCCTAGCAGACAGGGGGCAGGGCTGGGATTAGACTCGAGGCTTTGCAGGTTCTGACTCCCATGCTGTGAGAAAAACCCAGCCCCAGACCTGGATTATAAAACCTGATGCTTTTTTAAGCACCTGCTAGGGGCCAGGTGCTGTGCTAAGCCCTGAACCATCCCTCTGTGCTTTTTTTTTTTTAAGATTGTATTTATTTATTCACAATAGACAGAGAGAGAGAGAAGCAGAGATATAGGCAGAGGGAGAAGCAGGCTTGGAGCCTGACGCGGGATTCCATCCCGGGACTCGATTCCAGGACTCCAGGATCCCGCCCTGGGCCAAAGGTAGGCACCAAACCGCTGAACCACCCAGGGATCCCCCTCCCTCTGTGCTTTTTGAGCTCACTTCTCCGGGACTCATTTATCTCATCTGAGAAATGGGGATAGTAATAATTCTCAGGGACCTTCTGAGAATTCAATGAGCCGCTACCCTCAGCTAATAGAGCAGAGCCTGCACAGAGGAAGTGCTCCGTGAAAGATTACTTCAACACTCACTGAGTCCTTTTGGTGTGTCAGGCGTGGTGCTAACCTGGGGACACAGCAGGACACCACCCAGTTGGAAATCCCTGTCCTTGCAGGGCTTGTGCTCTTGCTAGGGAGACAGGCACCCAAGCAGGAAAATGTGGAATAATCCGACCTGTGGAGAAAAATAAAGCAGTCATCAGGGATAGATAGTGGGGGCTGCCTTAATAGGGAGATGAGGGAGGGCTTCTCTGAGGAGGTGACGTTTGAGCAGGTGTGAATGAAGGGAGGGAAGAGCGGTTCAGGTGGAGGGAACAGCAAGTGCAAAGGCCCTGAGGGTCTGGAGGGCGGTGGGTGCGCTTGAGGAACCGCAGGGAAGCCAGTGGGGCTGGAGCGGAGGGAGCCACGAGGAGGAGGGAGGGAGGGGGGCCGCGGGGGGCTTTGGCTTTTACTTTGCGTTCTCCAGAGAGGAGCCAGGACAGGTTGTGAGAAGAGGAATTTCATGACCTAAGTCTTAAAATCATCATTGTTATTGCTGCTGCTGTTGATGGTTGTACTCATACTGATATAATAAAATAATAATAATAATAATAATAATAATAATAATAGCACTCCCACGCGACGAGGAGGGACGGAGATAGGGAAGCGAGTGGCCCAGGGTCCGATCCCAGGATCCGAAGCCCGGCTCTCAGCCATCCCGAGAAGCCGCCCTGCCGCTGCCCACCAGGGGGCGCCAGAGGCCGGGCTCCCGCTTTGGGGAGGGGGGGCGCCAGGTCCCGCCCCCCCCCGCCCCTCCCTTCCCTCCTCCGGGCTCCGGGCCCCACCCGGCTCAGACGGCTCCGGACGGGACCTCGCGCACAGGCCGCTCCGCGGCCCGGATCCCCGCGGGACCCCCGTGCAGCCCGCCGCCCGGTGCAGCCCCCCGCGCGCCCCCTCGGTGAGTGGCCCCGGCCGCAGCTGTCGCCTCCCAACACCCCCCGCACCTCGCTCGCGGAGCCTCGGAGCCTGGTTATTCCCCTGCCGCGCAGACCTTCAGCCCCCACCCCACCCGCAGTGTGTAACGGTGTCGCCAGTACCGCCGCCCCAGCTCCCTCCCGCTCCTTCCAGTCCCTAACAGTGCCCCTGCCCCCCTGGATCCTTCCCACCGTGCTCAGTGGCCCCCCACTCCCAGGGGCCTCCCCATCCTCCCAGCCAGGAGAGATCCCCTCCTTGGAGTCTCCGTCACCCACCTCTGTCCCATTTGGCCCCTCCTCCCACTAAAGAATTTCTCTCCTGCATCACCAACCCGCTGGCCAGTCCAGCTACCCCTACAATGTCCCTCAGACTCCTCCCGGCCCAGGACCCCCGCCCAGGGTCCCCTCTCTCTGCCAACATCCCAATTCCCAGCTCCTGTCTCTCCTTCACCTATCCAGCACTCTTTCCCCTCTGCCCTTGTTCTTATTTATTTATTTATTTACTTATTTATTTTCCTTTAATAGCGTTGTGATTTTATGGATCTTAGCAGTTTTGATTTGCAGTTAATTTTAATGCTCAAATCTGTCCCATCTTTGGCAAGTGGGAGCTCCTGCAGGCTGGTCCCTGTGTCCCTGTGACATGCCCCGTCCATCTTTGAGCACCTTCCCACTACCTGATCCAGGCTCACTTGTTCTTCCCCTGCTCCAGTCCTGGAATCAACCATTTCTCCAAGAAGCCCTAGTTTTTCCTTGTTTATTTGCTTTTTAATGGAGAATGGTATTTGGAGGCTCCAATCTGGCCAAAAGCTGGCTCTGTGAAAAGATCAGTAAAATTATAAGAATCTGCTTAGAGTGATCAAGGAGGAAAAGAAAAGACACAAATGACTGCTATCAAGAAGGAAAGAGGGGACATCACTACAGATCCTACAGAGAATGAAAAGATAGTAAGGGAATATAGAGAACACAGTCTAGGTGCTGGGGGTGCCCATTGTTGCTGGGTTGGTAATTCTCTCTTCCTAAATCAGACCTCTGGGGGCACCTGGGTGGCTCAGCGGTTGAGCGTCTGCCTTTGGTTCAGGGTGTGATCCCAGGGTCCTAGGATTGAGTCCCACATTGGGCTCCCCACAGGGAGCCTGCTTCTCCCTCTGCCTATGTCTCCACCTCTCTCTGTGTGTCTCTCATAAATAAATAAATAAATAAATAAATAAAATCTTTAAAAAAAACAAATCAGACGTGTAATAGGAGCACAGGTTCCAAGGTCAGGTTGCCTGGAATCCCAGACTGAGCGCTTTCTGAGTGATCTTGGATAAGTTATTGCTATCTTCCTGAACCCCCTTGTGAGTCAGAAATGTGGGAATAAATTGTCCTACCTTACAATGTTGTTATGAAGATTAGATGAGTTAGAGCAGTGTCTGGCATGCAGTGATCATAAATGTTATTACTCTTGTGATCGCTTGAGGCCCCTCATGACCTGGGTGCACCCAGGCAACTCCTCAGCCTTATTTCTCAGCCCTCCTGTGTCCAGCTATCCCTCCATGCATTTCACAGCTCTGGGCCTCAGCACACACCATCCTCCCTGCCCGTCTTGCACGGTATCCCTATTGTGCATGGAGGGGAGCCGTTCAGCTCAGAGTTTGCTAACCCTGTGGTCAGCTCACTATGTCCCCATCTTGTGCCCACAAGTCCACTGCCCGGCATTTCCCAGGCATCACTGCTTGGTGCCAGGTCCCCTCATCAATGGGGGCCTTGAGTGGGTAGGGAGCCAGTCTCAGGCCTATTTCTGGATCCATAGTGCCTGACACATGAGGTGATTTTAGTGAAAATGTGTGAAATGATAGCAGAGGGGGAGGGAGGAAGGAAAGAATGAACCAGTGAAGGAATACATTTCTTCGAGGCAGCTACTATATCCTTCCCCTTGTCCATCCCTTGGTCTCCCACCATCAGTCCTGCTTCTTCAATCATCCCACCGTTAATCTCTTTCTCTTCCTCCCTCTGGAATAATCACCTTCCTCCTCCATGAACCGTCACCTCCTGCCCTCCAGGGCTCTCTGCTGCTCCCCCTCTACCAATCCAGCCTCCTCCACCTGTTGCACCTTCCGGCTCCCTTCCTTGTCCTTCTCCTCCTCTGCCAGGCAGCACCCCCATCAACACCCTGCCGTCCTCTTGCAGGCAGCTCTCCCCTGCACGTCTCCGTCGTGAGCCCAGAGCCCAGTGGACAGTGTGCAGCCACCATGTTCAGCTGGCTGAAGCGGGGCGGGGCACGGGGCCAGCAGCCTGAGGCCATCCGCACGGTCACCTCGTCCCTCAAGGAGCTGTACCGCACCAAGCTGCTGCCTCTCGAGGAGCACTACCGATTCGGCGCCTTCCACTCGCCGGCCCTGGAGGATGCCGACTTCGACGGCAAGCCCATGGTCCTGGTGGCAGGCCAGTACAGCACAGGCAAGACCAGCTTCATCCAGTACCTGCTGGAGCAGGAAGTGCCAGGCTCCCGCGTGGGGCCCGAGCCCACCACCGACTGCTTCGTGGCCGTCATGCATGGGGACACCGAGGGCACCGTGCCAGGCAACGCCCTGGTCGTTGACCCGGACAAGCCTTTCCGCAAGCTCAACCCTTTCGGGAACACCTTCCTCAACAGGTGCGCAGCCTGAGAGGCAGGGGTGCATCTTCCTGTCCCCTGCCTGCCTGCATCCCTCCCTGCCTGTGTTTCTTCCTTTTCAGCTCCAATTCCCTTCTCTTCCTGATCCTTCTACTTCCTGCCTCTGCTCTCTGGTCTCCTCTAGGGGAGCAGTGAAGCCAGCTTGCCTGGGTCCAGCTCCTTTCCACGTGGAGGGCCTGGGGCAAATGACCTAACCTCTCTGTGCCTCTTTTATCCTCATCTGGAAAATGGAGATAACCATAGTCCGCACTCATGTATAAAGTGCTTAGAATGGCACCTGGCACAAAGTAAGTGCTCAGTAAACATCAGCTCTGAGTTGTGTTGTTGTTGTTTTTTTTTTTTTTAATAGTTATTATTCTCTGTTCTGATCTTTCAAGATCCCGTGCTTCTCTGTACCTGATCCACCTCTGTGGATCTGGTTTCCCTTCTAATGTGTGCTCCCCTCCTGGCCTCCCCGCGTTGACCCCTGCCTTCTCCTCCGGCTCAGGTTCATGTGTGCCCAGCTCCCCAATCAGGTCCTGGAGAGCATTAGCATCATCGACACGCCGGGCATCCTGTCGGGCGCCAAACAGAGAGTGAGCCGGGGTGAGTGGGGCCAGACTCCTGGGTCTGAGGGAGGAACGACTGGGTCTTTGCAAGGACTTGGGCCTGTGTCAGCTGGCCCCGAGCTGGCGGGGTAGCAGAAGGGAGATGGTGGAAGGCTGTGATTGCTCCATGTCTACACAGGCTGCAGGCAAGGGGAGGTGTGTGCATGAACACGTGCCAGCAGGCTGCAGCTCCATGTCTGGGCCGGTCTGGACGATGTGGAGGGAGAGATCTAGAGAAACAGGGTGACACGGGAAGTCAGAGACAGATTCTGAGGGCAGGCAGCCTCATGGAGACGCTGGGGACCCAGAGAGGAGGCCAAAGCCAGGCAGGGAGGCCCTGGGCCTGGGCCTGACTCCACCTCTGGGTCGCAGATGGGGCTGAGCAGGAGTTGGGAGGGGGGAGTCTGGGTGCCGGCCAAGGCCCAGCCTGGAATTTATAAACAGCTGTGCAGGGGGAGCGGTGAGGGGGGTGAATTCCAGCGGGGGGCCTCTGGGGGAGCCGGCCCCCACCCCTGCGCAGCCGCTCAGCATCTGCAGCCCCCGCCACCCCACAGTTTCTGTCCCGCACCCAGTCTGGCCTTGGGAGTGGGGCGGGGGCGCAGAGACTGGGGCAAAGGAGGCTGCATTGTGGGGCAGAGGGGAGGGGAGGTGGGGCCGCCAGGCAGGGCCAGAGCGTGGAGGGTGACGGTGTCCCTGGCCACTGCCCAGCAGGCGCACATCCCCCTGGGAGACAGGCAGGGGGCAGCTGCAGAAACCATCGGAGGAGGGCGAGCTGCCAGCCTGAGGGGGGAGGCAGGGGGGCAGCCTGGGAGTTCCTGGGGCTCCGCCTCCACCAGGAGAGCAGGAGGGGTGCCGGGTGGGGGCCAAAGTTGTGGGGAGGAGGAGAGAGTAGAGAACAAGGTCTCCTTCCCTGGCCGGGTGGGTAGAGGAAGCAGAGGAGAGTCCGTTGGTCTGTGTGTAGTGTGTGTCTGGGAGTCTATGCCTCTGACTGTAGCTGGATGTGACTTTGTATGGCTCTGAAGGACTGTGGGGCCCTTGGGGGACTTTGTGGGGTTGTGTATGACTGTGTCTCTGTGCGACTGTGCTGTGAAATGTGCCCGAATGTGTGTGGAACTGTGGGCGATTTAGCACGTGTCCCAGAGTGTAATTGTGGGTGTGACACTGCGATTGTGTGTCTGTGTGTCTCTGTGTGTCAGGGCCATGATTGTGACTTTGTGTGGCTGTAGAGGACTGCATAGGACTCAGGGGATTTTGTTGGATTGCGTGTGGCTGTGTCTGATTCTATCTCTGTATATAGTTGTGTCTTTGTGTGTACAAGTGGGTGTGTGTGAGAGAGAGGGTGTGTCTGGGAGTCCGTATCTTGTAGCCTGTGGCTGTGATTGTGTCCAGATGTGTGTGCATGTGTGTGTGCATTGCCGGGATGCGTGGCTGGCTGCCTCTGTGTGTAAAATCTGTGAACATACTTGTGTGTGACTGTAGCGTAGTGGAGCCTCTGGCGGGGTTCAGCTCTGGACTCTGCTACTTGCCGTCTCCAAGGTGGACCCTGGACGAGGCGCTAGTCTCTCCTGGTCTTGGTCTCCTCATCTGTAAAATGGGAATAATAATAGTATCAGCCTCATAGGTGGCACCAAGGGTTAAAATTAAATGTCAAAACCCGCAAAGCACTTCAGTGTGCGCACACATTAGGCTCTCTGGATGTGCGGACCACTGTGTGCCTGGGGAGTGCCAGAGCCATGCACCCCGCACCCCGGGGGCCCTCCCTGCCACGTCTCTCATTCCCACGCTGACTCAACCTCCCGCCCTTCCTCCCGCCCCGCAGAGTGAGACACACTTTCCAAATCCTGGCCTGTGTGTGTGTGTGTGTGTGTGTGTGTGTGTGTGTGTAGACACTGGGGAGGGAGGGAGCCCCAGGAGCCCCAGCTGCCATCCCTCTGGTTACCTGGCCCCTCCTCCCCGCAGTGTCCCCCCCACCAGCCAGTCCCCAAGGGCCACTAGGAGCCGGCTCCGTCTTAGCCGCCTTTGCCCAACACCCACTCTTCAGTGGAGCATAGAGACCCATGTAGGCTCCTGCTCCGGGCCACCTAACTGTGTGTCTTGAGTAAATCTCTCAACCTGTGTGTGCCTCAGTTTCCTCTTCTGGAAAATGGGGGCTTGTGAAAGTGCCTGCCTCCTGAGGCTGTTTTGAAGATTCAACTAGCTGAATCAGGGAGAGCATGCAGTGAGGTCATCGGGTGAGTCAGCCATGGCTCCCTGCCCTGCCAGCTAACTCCTCGTTCCCCAGGTCACCACCGTGTCCCCCGACCCTGTTCTGAGAAGCCCTCCCCAAACCCCTCCCAGGCCAGGTCAGGTGCCCCTGCACTGGGCTCCGAAAGCTCTCCGGGTTCCCTGACCCTGGCCTGACCAGTCTGGGGGTCTGGGTTTGTGTCCTCCGTGGACTCTGGGCCAAATGAGAACAGGACTGGGAGTGCCCTGGGGGTGCTTCCCTGGGGGCCCCCCACCGTGCCTCGCATGCGTCATAACTGATACTTGTTGAGTGTGCTTACTGTGTTCTCAGACTGTGTCTGTTTGTTTTAACGGTTTATTTTTTAAAGATTTTTGTTTGTTTGTTTGTTTGTTTGTTTGTTTATGGGAGGGGGCAGAGAGGGAGGAAGAAAATCTCAAGCAGACTCCACACTGAGCTGAGCCTGATGCAGGGCTCGATCCCACAACCCTGAGATCGTGACCTGGGTAACCAAGAGTTGGGCGCTTAACTGACTGAGCTGTGCCATCCGGGTGCCTCTGTTCTAGCAGTTTCATTGAGGCATCATTTACATGCCTAAAGCTCACCCATTTTTTTTTTTACGATTTTATTTGCTTATTCATGAGAGACACACAGAGAGAGGCAGAGACACAGGCAGAGGGAGAAGCACGTCCCTGCGGGGAGCCTGATGTGGGACTAGATCCCAGGACCCGGGATCACACCTTGGGCCGAAGGCAGACAGTCAACTACTGAGCCACCCAGGTGTCCCAAGCTCACCCATTTTAAACAGGCATGGTTTTGTAAATAGGCTCTTTTTGTATATGATATATGAGCTCATTTATCTTTTTTTAATCTCCACAACAGTCCTACAAGTCACATTCTTGTGATGACTTCCATTTTACAGGAGAGGAAACAATCAGAGAGGTTTCCTACTTGTTTAAGGTCACATAGCTGTGGGGGGAGGCAGAGGCGGGATTCAAACCCAGAACTTCCTGACCCGCCAAGGCGGAGTGTTCCCATGGCTCTTCTCTGCTCTCCTGAGCACCACTCACTGGGTGCATGAGTGAACGGCAACAGAGTGAATGGTGGGGGCACCTGGGTGGTTCAGTGGTTGAGCGTCTGCCTTTGGCTGGGGGCATGATCTCAGGGTTCTGGGATCAAGTACCTTATCAGGCTCCCCACAGGGAGCCTGTATTTCCCTCTGCCTATGTCTCTGTCTCTCTTTCTGTGTCTTTCATGAATAAATAAAATCTTAAAAAACAAACAAACCAATGAACAGTGTAAACTAATGAATGAACAAGGAAGGAAGGAAGGAAGGAAGGAAGGAAAGAAGGAAGGAAGATGGGAGCCATTTGTTGAGACAGGTGCTCCACCAAGGCCAGGACTTGTCTCCGTGTTGTCTGTGGTAATGCGTGGTACCCGGGATAGGGCCTGGCCCACAGAAGACTCTCTGTAAATATTGTCAAATAAATTCAAAATATTTACCATCTGCTCTGGCGACAGTAGAGCCAGAGCCAACGTGAACTCTTTAGTTGCTGGATGGCCAGGAGATCCAAAGTCCTAGGGAGGGACTGGGGTGATGGAGGCACTTGGGAGGCTGGGGGGTTCATAGAAGCGCAGAGTCTGTTAAGAAATACTTCAGTGTTTTAACAACCTGTGCATCTGGACCAGTGCACACCACTAGTATCTGCTTAAAGAATGAATGAAACGGGGGCAAATGATAGCCCTGAGGGCCAGGGGCCAGAGTGATGGGGTAATTCTGGTGCCTGGGGGGCCAGAGCCAGGGGGACACTCTTGGGGCCTTGGCTATGGTGCCCCGAGAAGGGTTTTGTTTTTTATTTTTATTTTTTTTATTTATTTATGATAGTCACAGAGAGGGGGGGCGGAGAGAGAAGCAGGCTCCATGCATCGGGAGCCCGATGTGGGATTCGATCCCAGGTCGCCAGGATCGTGCCCTGGGCCAAAGGCAGGCACCAAACCGCTGCGCCACCCAGGGATCCCCCGGAGAAGGGTTTTGAAAGTTAATAACCTGACCACCCGTACAGTCCGATGTCAATCCAAAGGAATGGGTGCTTCTGAAAGGCTGGAGGGAGGGGGAGACTGACCTCTGCCCTTCGTACCCACTTCCACTGCGTACCCCCAGGCTACGACTTCCCGGCGGTGCTGCGCTGGTTTGCGGAGCGCGTGGACCTCATCATCCTGCTCTTTGACGCGCACAAGCTGGAGATCTCCGACGAGTTCTCGGAGGCCATCGGCGCCCTGCGGGGCCACGAGGACAAGATCCGCGTGGTGCTCAACAAGGCGGACATGGTGGAGACCCAGCAGCTGATGCGTGTCTACGGGGCGCTCATGTGGGCACTGGGCAAGGTGGTGGGCACACCCGAGGTGCTGCGCGTCTACATCGGCTCCTTCTGGTCCCAACCCCTCCTGGTGCCGGACAACCGACGCCTCTTTGAGCTGGAGGAACAGGACCTCTTCCGCGACATCCAGGGCCTGCCACGCCACGCGGCCCTGCGCAAGCTCAACGACCTGGTGAAGAGGGCACGGCTGGTGCGGGTAAGCAGCTCTGGGGATGAGAGAAAAGCTCTGGGGATGTGGGAGCAGCTCTTGGGACAGGGGAGCAGTGCTGGGGATGGGGCAGCAGCACTGGGGATGGGGGAGAAGCACTGGGGATGAAGGAGCAGCACTGGGGATGGGGGAACAGCTCTGGGGATGGAGAGCAGCACTGGAACGCACCCAGCAGAGCAGCCCTTGCCCTGCATCCCATCTCATCCCACCCCATCTAGTTCTCTGGGGCTCACTTAGGGGCCCTCTGCTCTAAGAGAGTCATCCAGGCGGGGTCATGCTGGTGCAGGGTGAGTGAGGGACCAGAATGGCCTGGAGTCACCCCTAGGCTACGCATCTATCATTCTATTTCCACATCACTCTGTCTCTTCTGTGTCCTGTCATCCTTTCACCCACGCCCCGCCACCAGCCACACGGATCATGGCACCCTCCATGCACCAGCCACCAGGGACTCCCACGTACTCAGCAGAACCCAAGCCCTCACTGTGGTCCACGGCCCTTCCATTCCCCCATTACTCTGTGCTACTTTTCCCCTCTGTCCTCTTCTGCTCCCTTTCCCACCATGCATTGCACTTCACGCCGGCCTCCTCACCTCTACCTCAGGGCCTTTGCACATACTATTCCCTCTTCCTGGAAACCGCCCTTCCTCGCCCCGCTCCCACTCGGCTCGCCCCTCACCTCCTTCAGGTCTTTGCTCAACATGCCCAGGAAGGCTTCCCTGTCTGCCCTCCCTTTGTAGGACTCGAACTCCCTGCTCCCATCAGGTGAGCCTGCCTTTATCCTTGTGGTTTCCTTCATAGCATTCCCGCTGCTGTCTCCCCAGCACCCAAAACAGAGTTGGGGCTCAGTGAATCTTTATTGAACAAATGGCATTGAACAAACCCTCTCGTGCAACCAAATCTCTGTGCCTGACCCTGTGTTGGGCGGCACCGAGGACACAGCAGTGACCAAAGGCAGGTGGGAGGAGACAGACCCGACTCAGACAGTGATGACCCAGCATGGTCAGGGCAGGCACTGGGGAGCCCAGGGGGAATGAGGATGGAGGGCTTCTTGGAGGAGAGGGCATCTGAGCTGCAAACTGGAGGAGGAGGAAGAGGAGAGGAAGGAATTCTTAGACACTGGGACCAGCAAGCGCGTGGACCAGAGATGAGAACGTGGCCTGTTCAAGGAAGAGGGGGGAAATGTCGGTGTTGAACCCGGTGTAGACAATGCAAGTAACTGAACCTGAGGCTGGCAAGGTGGGTGGGCGTCAGACTCCTGCAGGGCTGTGGCCTGGAACCTGAGCTTTGTCCCAAGGGCACTGGGGAGCCATGGAAGAGTTGGGAGCAGAGGAGGGACAGCGTCATACTCGGTGCCTTCTGGTGGGTGGATTGGAGGGTGGTTAGACTGGGGCCAGAGCCCAGGGAGGAGGCTGGGGACCGAGGCACAAGGAGGAGCCTGGATCCGCAGCACAGGGCCTTGGGGAGGGGAAGGAGAGCACTGGTTTGAGAGCGATTTTGGAGGCCAAATGGAACATTCATGGGGGCGGCTGCCAGGGTGGAGGTGGGGCAGGAAGCTGGGCAGGCAGGGAGGCCGAGGAGGTTATGGAGGGTGGAGGAGCTGAGATGTCGGTTTAAGGAGCAGTGGAGAGGGGGTGAGTCAGGCCCCCCCCCCCAGGAATCCTCAGGAGGGAGCGGCCCAGCGGTCTGCTCAGCCTGGGAATCCACCTTTCCCTCCTCCCCCCGGGCTCTGGGCTGTCTCTGTGTCTCCCTGTGTTTCTCCTCCCTTCTACCTCTTTCCAGCGGCCACCTCTCCCTCTTACTCCTCCCTTTCGTGCTCCTCCTCTCTCCTCCCTCCTTCTGTCTCTCTCCCTCCTTTCTCTCTCTCCCTCTCTGGTTTCCTCCTGGACTTTCTCAGTCCTCCCCCCGAAAGGACCCCCGGCTCGCCCTCGCTCCCCCGGGACCCCGCACGGACCCCCGGCCCCAGGCGCCCCCCTTGGACCCCCAGCCCCAGGCTCCCCCCTCCGACCCCCCGGCCCCAGGCCCCGCACGGACCCCCGGCCCCAGACGCCCCTCGGACCCCCGACCCCAGGATCCCCCACGGACCCCCGACACCCCCCCCACTGACCCCCGGCCCCGGGGCCCCCCTCGGGGACGCAGACGGCGGCGGCGGGAGCGGAGGCCCAGGGCCCTGGGACAAGTGGGCGGGGTCGGCCCGGACACCTGGTGCCCCCGCCTGGGCAGGAGGCGGCTCCGGAAACGCGGACAAACCCCGGAGTCCGGGACCCGCGCCCCGGCCCAGCCCGCCCTCCCACCTTATCTCTTCCTGGCACCTTCCCCCGCTTCCTCTCTGGAAAAGCCATCAGCGCCCTCCCGCCTTCCCTCTTCTGGGTCCCCCGGGAGCCGCGCTGGGCCCCGCCCCCTCGCCCCATTGGCCCGCGCTCGCAGGCCCCGCCCACCACCCTGACCCCACCCCTGTCCCTTTGGCCCCTGGGACCCGCGGACCGTTCCTTCCCCCTCCTCCCGCGGATTCATCCCCAGAGCCCCGCACACCGGGCCCACCGCGACGGAACCCCGCTGCCCCCCTCCCCGCTCCGGGGCACCCACTCACTCCGCACATGGGACTCCGCCACACTTGGTCTGGCCATCGAACGGTCCACACCACTTACCTCCCCGTAGGCTCTCCCCCAAAGTACAGGGCCTTTCTGGACTCTGGGCCACTACTCCTCGGTGACTCAGTTTCCCCGTCTGTACGATATAGGGTGTGGATGAGTCACCTGGCTCTGTTCAGCCCTCTGGTTGATGTAATAGCTGCTAGAGGGGGTGATTTCACGGTGTTGTGATACTTGAGGCCAAGATCCCGGGAGGATCTGATGCCAATGAGGTCAGGCTGCCCTGAACCTTCTTACCGAGCTTCTCTGAGGCGGCTCAGTGCCGTTCACTCAACAAACAGTTACGGAGCCCCGACAACGTGCATCCACATTGCTTGGGGTCCTGGGGATACAGCAGAGAACAAACCAGATGTTTTTTTTCTTTCTTTCTTGTAGAATCACTTTTTACTGGGGAAGTGAATATTAAACAAATGGATCTAGAATATCATACAGTATTGTATGTGATAAGGATCAGGAAGGAAAATGAAGCAGAGGAAAGGAGATTGGCAAGGGGACTGTTTTAGGGAAGTCAGGGAGAGTCTCCCTGAGGAGGTGATATTGAGCAGAGACCTGAAGGAGGGAAAGAGTGGAGGCCCGGGGGAGGCCCTCTCAGGCAGAGGGAACAGTAAGTGCAAAGGGCCTGAGGCAGGAACAGGCTTGAACAAGGAGCCCAGAGCGGTAGGGGTGGGAAGACATGAGGATTCAGAACCACTCAGGGGCCGCCAAAATTTTTAGCATTCTAAGCCTATGATTCATTAACAGAGCTTTTAAACGAGTGTTTTCCATCAAACATTTAAGACCATTTCATGGTGAAGCATTTAACCTCCGCCGAACATGCTCCCTCCCAGCCCTGATCTCCCCACCAGCTTGCAGGACCCCTTCCCTCGAGGCAACCCATAAGGAGGAGTTTCTTGTGTCTTTTTCCAGATATATTCTATTTTTATTTAGGCACATGCAGTTAATTACTGAACTTCCAGTCCAAAAATGCGAATATTCATTATTCCGCCCTCCTTGTTTGTTATTTGATAACTTGAGAGATCGGGGCTCCAAGGTTCCCAGGTTGATTGCTTTCCTCCACAAGTATTTCTTGAGTGCATTCTGTGTATGTTGTGTCGGCGCTGAGGACAGAAGGAACAGATAAGGTCCCAGCCCCCCTGGAGCTCATATTCTGATGGAAGGAGACAGAATATGTAAACCACCAGATAAACAAAATAAGAGTTACAATAAACAGTGTGGGGGGTGGGAAAGTGACGGTAAAAAGTAATTGGATGGTGGTGGTCGGGGCACTTGCTTCTCATAGGATGGCCTCTGTGAGGAGATAGGATCAAAAGGAAGCTGAAGGAGCCACCTTGGGGAGATCAGGGCAGAGTTGCAGGCAGAGAGTGGCATGTGAAAAGGCCCTGTGGCCAGAAAAAGATTGGCATGCTTGTACAAGGAAGGCAGGTGAGGAAGCTGGCACAGTTGAGGGGGCACCGAGGGGAGAGGATGTTGGATGAAACACTGGGAACCAAACCATAGACAGCAGTGGTTCTCAAAACCTTCCATCACAGGAGCTCGTGACACTCTTAAAAATGACTGAATGCCCCCAAAGAGTTTGAATGACCACACTAGAAGCTAAAACTGAGAAAATGTTTAATATATTTATCTGGTACTATTGCTTATCCAACAATACTCACATAATCCAAAGTTACTCACATAACTTATTTATTCTAAATGTTATTGATGAGTTATGATAGCTTACATTAATATTGATAGTAGATATTACAAGGCCATTTTTTATAAGATCATTTTTAAAAATAACAATAAGCCTATGGTATGGTAACCCAAATCCCATACAATTTATGAAAATCATCTCCAAACCAAAAAAAAATATATATATATATATATTAATTACAGAGGACGATGGCTCTATTTTACATTTTTGCAAGTCTCTTTAATGTCTGGCTTCCAAGGAGACCTCTGGATTGGCACATCTGTTATTGTATTTGATCGGTGAAGGTGTCCTATCGGCTTGTTGCCTTTAAAAACTCTACTGTTGGGGATCCCTGGGTGGCTCAGTGGTTGAGCGTTTGCCTTTGGCTCAGGGCGTGATGCCAGAGTCCGGGGATCGAGTCCCACATCAGCATCCCTACATGGATCCTGCTTCTCCCTCTGCCTGTGTCTCTGCCTCTCTCTCTCTCTGTCTGTGCCTCTCATGAATAAATAAATAAAATATAAAAAAAAATAAAATAAAAATAAAAACTCCACTGTCCCCAGGGGAGATGAAAGCACAAAAGACAAATAGCATCTTAGTATTGTTATTAAAATAGTTTTGATTGTATGAATCTCTGAAAGGGGCTGGGGAGGGGGGGAAATCCCGGGGGGTTCCCCCAACCACACTTTGAAAACTGCTGCTGTAGGGACTTGTCAGCTGTGGTAGGAATTTTGTACTTGGATAAGAGCAAACTGAGGCTTTGGAGCAGTGTCTCATGATCTGGTGTTTGTTCCTAAAAGACAAAAAGGCTTCTTCAGCTGCTGCTGCCTGGGGAAGGCATTGTAAGGGCAAGAGAAGCCAGAAGACCAGCGGGGTGCCTGCACTGTCTCCCCAGGCGAGGGATGCTGACAGTTGGCCCTGGGGGGGGGGTGGCACCCAAGATGGAGAGAGAAGTGAAAACAGAGGGGACACATGTAGAGGCAGAAGGCAAAGGACTCACTGATGGATGGATGTGGCTGGTGAGGAGTAAGGAAAATCAAATCAAGGTTTCTGGAAGCCTGGCTTCAACTGGGAACAGAGCAGTGGGGGTGCCACACCCTGCACCCTGGTTCCCCCTGCCCTTGCCCCGCCACCAGCAATGGGCACAGCTGGGAGTGACACAGCTCTGGGGGTTGGGCCCAAATTCCACTGGGCGTCAAAAAACGGAGCTGTCCAGGAATGTGGACGAGGCAACCAGCATCCCCAGCTCCAGGAGAGAGGCCTGGGCTGGTATATAGATTTGGGGGCGGGGGACACTGCCTAGGAGAGGAGGAGCCCTCCTGCCCCTGACAGCTGCAGCAGCAGCAGCAGCAGCAGCAGCTCACCTGTAAGGGTCAGAATGCACATCCTCAGGCCCCACTCTGGGCCCCGTGAATCAGAAGCGCTGGGTGTGGGGCCCGGGGAGCAGTGATGCAGACTCAGGTGAGCGCGCTCCTCCCGCAGGTTCACGCCTACATCATCAGCTACCTGAAGAAGGAGATGCCGTCTGTGTTTGGGAAGGAGAACAAGAAGAAGCAGCTGATCCTCAAGTTGCCCGTCATCTTCGCCAAGATTCAGCTGGAGCATCACATATCTCCTGGTGACTTTCCCGATTGCCAGAAGATGCAGGTGGGAGGTCGCCCGGGAGGGAGGTGGGAGGCGGAAGGGCTCAGCTCCTGTAGGCTTCGGGGCAGGGGCCTTGAAAACAGAAGGTTCTGGAAAGTACCTCCTGCAAATGGTTCCATAAGAAGGCATTAGGACTAGGGAATGAAGAGAAACCCCCAGGGAACCGTGGCTCAATAAGGATGGAAGTTTGTTTCTCTCCGAAAGTCCTAGAAGGTGGTCCGGGGCTGCTATGGTGCTTTGCAGAGCCCCTTCAGTCTTGGTTCTCCTCCATGGCTGGCCTCCACTTCCAAAGGTCCCCAAGTGGTACAGAATGGCTGCGAGACCCCAGCCATCTTGTCTGCATTCCAGCCAGCAAGAAGGGGTGAGGAAGAAGGGAGGGAAAGCTACCGGCACAGTCTCTCTCTGGAAGGACACTTTCTAGAACCGTGCTGTCCAATAGTCCTTTCTACCAGGATGGAAATGTTCTGGGCTGTGTGGTCCAGTACAGTAGCCACTAGCCCCACCGACACTGACATCGTAGGTTTTTATTTCATTTTAACTGATTTAAATGTCAATAACCGCATGCAGCTCCCGTATTGGAAAGGCCAATTCTAGAGTCGTGCGTGCAACGTACGCTGACGTCCAGAATGTGGCCACAGCTGGCCGTAAACTGGAAAATGTAGCCTCCCCTCTAGGCAGCCGGGTGCCCATGTAGTGCCCAGGGGTTCCCATGTAGTGCCAGGGCTGAGAGAGAAGTAACAGATGGGTATCGCGGGGCTCCCTTGCACGTCCAGGTCTAGGGTTAACCAGTGGGGGGGGAAGCACTGGGTCTGGGTGCGGTGGCAACGGGGTGAATGAAGAGCTAGTGGGGGGGCAGGGCAGGGGTGACGGGAGAAACAAGGGGACAGAGGTCCCAGCGCAGGTGTGGAGGTGGGGAGCGCCCCCCCCCAAGCCCGGGCTGAGCCTCTGTTTCAAGGTTGCATCAGGTTGGTCCTCAGAGCCCGTGACTTTTGGGTCTGAGATGGTCTCTAACCCACAACCCGGAGGACCTACTGTAGAGTGGATTTCGCTTGGGCCACTTGCGAGCTCCACGAGTCTGGGCGAGTCACCTTGCCCGAGCCTCTGTTTTCGGCTGGGCAGTGGGCGCAGGGGCGCTGGCTGAGTCGGCTGGTGCCTGTGGCCCCATCGGGCAGCGTGTGGCACGGACTTGGCGCTGGACCAAGGCTCTCACCCTCAGCGATGCTGACATTCGGGGGGCAGAGCGAGCTTGCTCAGAGGTGTCCTGTGCATTGCAGGACGTTTGCGTCCGCCTGGCCTCGAGGTGCCAGGAGCAACCCCCAGCTCTGATGGTCAGGAACGTCTCTAGATCTTGCCAGGTGTCCACCAGGGAAGAGTGACACCTCCGCTGGTTGAGAACCTGGCCAGGCTGAACTGCACCTGCTAACATTACGCTGACAATTCTGGAACACTTCATCCAGATGAATTCATGTAGCCCTTCCCACCCCCTTCAACCCCCAAGTGAGGGGAGCACCAATGCTATGGATCCGTTTTACACGTGTGGAAACTGAGGCCGGGAGAGGTGAAGTCGCTCGCCTGAGGACACACAGCTCCAAAGTGGCAGAACGGGGTTGGGACCTGGGCAGGCTGGCACTGGAGTCCAGACCCCACCCCCTCCCCTTTATGTCAGATCAGGGGCCTCTCCACCTTGGCTCTGGAAATCAATGTGGTGCCATGAAACACAGCGGTCTTGCTGGGACTCTCCTGGCGTGGGTGACTTGGAGCGGCCGCAGGAGCAGCAGCATGACTGTAAATCCAGCCCCACAGCTGCTCTTGCACAGAGATGACTTCTGGGGCGGGCATGTGTGTGTGTGTATGTGTGTGTGTGTGCGCGCACGTGTCCCAGGGTCGCCTAATGATCTGGCCATCCCCAACCTAACCTCCAAACCTGGCAGCGAGCCTCTTGGTCATTTCTGTGAAGTGGGGTGACAGTTAATGGAGCAGTAGTAAGAATGGAATTTCCTTGATTTGCACAATGGTGGGGGTGCAGCTGGGGTGCCAAGAGGCTGGGCAGACCCAGCGGTGTGCTCGGCAGAGCTGCAGCCGATGTCAGAACACTGAAACCCGTCTCCACCAGCTGGCAAACGGCTGCTGCTGTAAGTCATCAGAGGGCCCCCCGAGGTCCCTATCGTCCAGGGATTCTGGGGGCACGCGTGGCCCAGGGGGAGGGCCTCTGGGACCCTGCTGCCCAAGTCTCTTCTGAGCGGTGGGTGCCCAAGTAGAATGGGCTGTGCAGATATATTTTTTAAAGATTTTATTTATTTATTCATGAGAGACAGAGAGAGGCAAAGACGTAGGCAGAGGGAGAAGCGGGCAGACGCTCAAACCACTGAGCCCCCCAGGTGCCCCTGTGCAGATATTCTGATACTTTTGCACCTCTCTGGAAAGACCTGCCACCAAGTGGGCCGCCCAAGTGTCTTGCAGCCCCCACGGGTCTGGGGTGCCTTGAGGATGGTGCCCCCTGACTTCCCAGTGCACCCCTCTCTTCCTCCCCTCCAACAGGAGCTGCTGATGGCTCACGACTTCACCAAATTCCACTCGCTGAAGCCAAAGCTGCTGGAGGCGCTGGACGAGATGCTGACGCACGACATCGCCAAGCTCATGCCTCTGCTGCGCCAGGAGGAGCTGGAGAGCACGGAGGTGGGCGTGCAGGGTGGCGCTTTCGAGGGCACCCACATGGGCCCCTTCGTGGAGCGGGGGCCTGACGAGGCCCTGGAGGACGGCGAGGAGGGCTCGGACGACGAGGCCGAGTGGGTGGTGACCAAGGACAAGTCCAAATACGACGAGATCTTCTACAACCTGGCGCCGGCTGACGGCAAGCTGAGCGGCACCAAAGCCAAGACCTGGATGGTGGGCACCAAGCTTCCCAACTCGGTGCTGGGGCGCATCTGGAAGCTGAGTGACGTCGACCGGGATGGCATGCTGGATGACGAGGAGTTCGCCCTGGCCAGCCACCTCATCGAGGCCAAGCTCGAGGGCCACGGGCTGCCCACCAACCTGCCCCGCCGCCTGGTGCCGCCCTCCAAGCGGCGCCACAAGGGCTCTGCAGAGTGAGCCGGCTGCTGCCTGCCGGCCCCCCCTCCCACTTGCCTTGCTGTGGCTCCCCCAGCTCCAGCTGGCTGCACGCACACCCTCACCCCAGCCTGCACGCACCCTGCCTGTCCGCCTTCTCAGCTGTAAGGATGGAGGCCTCTCCACCTGCCTCCACCAGTGGGGACCAGGGGAGGGGCAAGGCTTCTCTGCTGGCCTTTGCACCTCTACCCTCACGTACACTTAGGCACACGATGTTGACATTCATACACACACACACACACACACAGAGGCATCAATCCAATCGTGTATTTATTGAGCACCTACTATGTTTGGATGTGCAGGGCTTGTTCTGGGCACTGGGGATCACAGCCGAGAGCAAAACAGACCCGTGTATCTACCCTCAGGGGGCTGACATTCTCAGGAGAGAGCACCTACACTCACAGTCACACACCTGGCCCTAACCAATCTGATCCCCCCAGTTCTGGGCGGGACCCCGGGCCTCTCCCCCTTGTTCAGTGGCCACTTGGCTGAAATAACAAACACACTTCTTGCCCGTCCAGGCAGGGACCACCTGCCCCTCCACGCCATCATGTCCTCAGGCCTTGGGACCACTGGGGGCTCCCAGGGGAGCTGCAACCTCCTACTTGCTCACATGGACCCCATGCAGCCCCTCTCCCTAGTTCTGGTCCCATCTCTTTTCTATAATAAGGAATCGCAGCAGACAGAAAAGCCCCCTCCCTCCTTGCCTCTCCCAGACTGGGCTCACTTTGCGGTATTTCTGTCCTCGGCCCACCTGCCTGCCCCCTTCCCCCCCAAGCTACCCACAGCTGGTGGCCTGAATTCTAGACTGATGGGGCACAGGCTCTCTGCCATCAGCACTTACGGTCAGCCCCTACAAAGGCCTCAGGGCTTTATTTTAGTCCCCTTTTCAGGGATGTGCAAGTGGGGGTGGGGAGGGGGGGATCTTGGTGCTACAGCCCTGCCCTCTCCTCCTGCCCTCCCACCTTTCTGTGGCTTCACCACATCCTAGTGTTTGACCCCATGGAAGACCCCACGGAAAAGATGGGGAAGGGTGACCTAGGCGGGACGACGCCTCCTCCAGGGTGCCTGCCGGGATGCCCACACCCACCATCACCACCACCCCCACCTCCCCATGCCCGGGAGGGGCCTGTGAACCGAACAGCGAACATAGTTCCCACAGAGCAAATAAAGCCAAGGCTTCTTTCCACGTGGGAGTCACGCTGTCTTGGGATGGGATGGGTTGGGGGAGGGATCGCTCTCGACTCCTGCGAAGATGAGCCCTGGGCGGGACTTGAGGTGGCAGGGGGATGGGGCGGGGGCGGGGGTCCCCTCGAAGGTCCCAGGGGCGGGGTGGTGGGGGGGGGTTGTGGAGGGCCATGACTCAATGCAGCGGGGCCTGATGACTCAGGTCCGGGCTGGGGGCCAGACCGACATATTTTCCGAAGAAAAGTGACTCTGGGGCCCTCCCTCCGGGACATCCCTCCCTCCCGCCTCCCGCCGCGGGGGCCTGGGAACCCAGCCCTGGGGCGTGGGGCTGTGCGCGCGCGAGCTCGGGCACATCGTGCCCCGCTGCCCCCGCCCTGCCCGCCGGCGTGCACCCCCTGGGACGCCGCTCCCGACACGTACCCCCGGGGGACAAGCGGGCCCCAGGAAGGGAAGTGCCGCGGCCCGCGAAGACCACCAGGTGTGCACGCGCGCGCTGGCGCGCTCACCCCTGGGGGGTAGGAGAGCAGGGGGGCAGGGGGGCGGGGACGGGACCCCGCGGGCTGAGCCCCCGCCACACGCCCAGGCCACACCCACCGTGCCCGGGACACGCTGGCCGCGCGCTCTTCCCGCCCACGCGCGCCCTCCCACTGTCGCGCTCCCAGCGCCCCCTGGCGGGCACTCGGGACCCGCGCGGGCTGCGCGCCCAGGACTCCGGGGCCCCTGGCCTTCCCAGCACCCTGCGCCGGGAGCCCGCTGGGGTCCGCGGTGCAGCCCCGGCCTGCCGCCCGCCTCTCTGTGCCTGCTACCCTTTCCGGGCCACAACGGCCTGAAGGAAGCCCGGGGTCCCTGTGAATGGTTGCCGGGGCCCAACGGCCTCCGAGCTTCCTTCCTTATTTGTAAACGGCAAAGGCTGGGTCCACCCTGAAGCCTCAGGGGGCAAGCCAGTGACAACAGCTACCGTTCAGATAACCTGGCACACTCTTACACGTTGCGTGTTTATTATCTCGTGTTCGTCTCCCGAGTAATTTATAAGGCCGATGTCCCGTGATCGCCCCCATTGCACAGATGAGCAAAGTGCACAGCCAAGCAGCTTGCCCAGGTTTAAAGATTCCGCGACCGCACTGCCAACCGTGTAGGCTTCTAGCACTCCTCGCGAATGCGGTTCTGTGCTCCCAACTCCACGTTCGGAAAGCTCTTGGATTTCCAAGATCTTAGGATCGGAACACTGGAAAGCCAAACGTTCTGGGACTAGACGGTGTCCTATGCTGAATCTGCCACTGATGGTTCTGATTCTCTTTTTCAAGAAAACTGGACTAAGGGGCGCCTGGGTGGTTCAGTGGTTGAGCATCTGCCGTGGCTCAGGTCGAGATCCTGGGGTCCTAGGATCAAGCCCCATATCCGGCTCCCCGCAGGGAGCCTGCTTCTCCCCCTGCCCATGTCTCTGCCTCTGTGTGTCTCATGAATAAATAAATAAAGTCTTCAAAAAAAAGTAAGTTAAAAATTAGAGATATACGTAAATTTAAGAAATATTCCTGAGCGGCCAGAAAGGCGCTCACCTAAGGGTAGAGCCCCGAACCTCCGACCCACGGTCCACAGAAATTTGCCTAAGAGGGAGGAGACATTTGCACTTTGCCCCGCCCCCTGGGCGCTCCGGCTCCTTTACCAAGATGGCGGCAACCGGAAGTAGCTCTCGGGAGGGGGCGGAAGACCTGCGCGCGCAGGCCCCAAACTGGCTTTCGGGGAGCCGGCTGGGGATTGCTTCCTTTGCCAAGATGGCGCCGGAAGGTAGCGGCGGCGGCGGCGGCGGGCGCTGCTCGAAAAGCGAGACCGACACCGGCTTCTTGGGTTTCCGGCCCACTTCGGTGGACCCGGCGCTGAGGCGGCGGCGACGAGGCCCAAGAAACAAAAAGCGAGGCTGGCGGCGGCTCGCTCAGGAGCCGCTGGGGCTGGAAGTCGATCAGTTCCTGGAGGACGTGCGGCTGCAGGAGCGCACGAGCGGGTGCGTGGGGCGGGACTTCCGGGAGCCGGGCCACGTTCTGAGGGACCGGGTGCGAGGCCGACTTCCGGGGGTTGCGCGCGTGTGTTTCGGGCACCGCTGGACTCTCGTGGCGGTGGGGAGGAGGTTGGGCTACCGGGTACTCGGCACCCCGTGTTAAGTTAGAGTTCAGGTAAATGACTAATAACTAGGTAAGTACGCCTTGTGCACCCACGTTGGCGTAGTGCCGAGGACTAGTATTTTTAAATATGATTTAAGTGCTGAGCTCCGCGATCTGGAGGGAGGCTCTTAGCCTGGAGGGATCGCAGGGCGGGAAGAAGGTGCTTGGTTCAGCACAGCATTAGAGGAAAGCGGGCTCTTGGGACGTTAAACCTCCCTCCCCGGCATCTTTGGCTGACATTCTGCATTCTCCTCTCCCAGTGGCTTGGTGTCAGAGGCCCCGGATGAGAAACTCTTCTTCGTGGACACCGGCTCCAAGAGAAAAGGTGAGGAAGAAATTTCTGTGATGCCCGCTTGGTCCTCATCCAGCCCAGCGCAACCTCTGAGAGAGTCTCTGTTAACCGCATGGCTTGGATCGCAGGCGTCTGCTGGAGAGGGGAAGGGTCTTTACTGGTGCAGGAGGCCCTGGAATGCAAGACTAGGAGTCAGATTTCCTTTTTGAGGTCTCGGAGCTCTTGGTCTTCACCGTGGCAATGCTCAAGCCTCCATCTGGCAGGCCGGTAGGGATCTGCCTCGGAGTAGATTAGACATAGATTAGCAGTTCTCTCGTGAACTTGAAGAAAAGCAAGTCAGGGACCTGCGGTAAGGGATACCACAAGACCTGTTGTAGTAAGATGGGCTTGAGAAAGAATAAGAGGATCTGCTTTCATAAGTAGGTAAGAAGCGGTCTTAATCTGCTTACTTTTGTCGGCCAAAAGGCAGGTCAGGAGGACCTGCTGGAACAAGCCCAGGAGAGGGGAGTTAGAGAAGGCTGGAGTCAATAATAGGCTTTCCGTAGGTGAGTAGGAAAACAGATCAAGAACAGGCAGTGGCTTTAGGGAGGGAATAGAAAGCCAGCCCCCAAGGAGCTGCTTTGATGAGTACACTGCTAGCTGCTTCACAGCAGGATGCCCTTAGGGAGCATGTGTGGGTTCCACCCAGGGGCCCATTCTAAGGAATGTGAGAGGACCTGTTTGATCAGAAAAAGAGGGACCAGGATCTGCTTTGAAGTGCAGGAGACTCTAAGTGAGCAGGTGGGAAGGATGATGAAAGAGGTCACCCTTCAGGGGAGTGAGCCCATCTGGCTTGTGAACAGCAAGCAGAGGGCCGGACATGCCCCGATGAACAGGTAGGGTAGTCGATGAACAGGTAGGGTAGTCGGAAGGCCTGCTTTGGCCAGCGTGAAGTCTCTTTGGAAACGGGAGAGACGTTTTAGGTTCTGCTGTCAGTTTGCAAATGAGAGATGAGGCACTGTTCGTGGCCTGCTAGCCTGGCTGTGGCTGGTGGGCTCCATTCCGGTGCTACAGCAGCTCCAGCAGCTCCAGTGGCATTGTGACTGAATGACTCGTGGCTCTCAGTTTCAGGTCCTGGGGACATGGGAAGGAAGAAAAAGAAAGATAATAGTGATTGTGAGCTTTCCTAGGTGATCACCGTGCTTTATGCTGTTGTAGTGATGGCCTTTCCAGACAACCCCAGGAGGTAGGCGTTCAGGCTCTTTTTGGAAGCACAGAGGAGTGAAGTCTCTTCTATGACGTATCCTAGGAAACGGAAGGATGGACGTTCTGTCCTGGCGTGTTTCGTCCTGGAGTTTGTTTTGCACAGTCAGGTGGAGAAAGGCAGAAAGCCATTGTGCTGAGAATCAGCCATTTTGGGTCAGGAGTCTAGTTCCCTGGGCCTCACTGTTACTTGGTCGCCTTCTTCTTCATTAGCATTCGTGGTTTTCCTGCCTTGTCTGGCAGCCCTTAGAGGGCAGGGCTGTGGGCCTGAGCCTCCCTCTGTTCCCTGCACAGGGCTGCCTCCGGCCAGCCTGGGGCCTGCACATCTGCACCCTGATGCAGGTCTGATGGCTGCCATGGAGCTGAAATGCAGCAGCTGGGGAGCTAGTCTTGGGAAGCGAGGAGGCCCCAGCCCTTGATTGCTCTCCTTTCTCCCCACCCTAGAGCTGAACAAGAAGAGGACCAGAAGCCAGAAAAGGTCACTTCTCAAGAAGCCCCTTCGTGTTGACCTCATCCTAGAGAACACATCCAAGGTCCCTGCCCCCAAAGAGTGAGTGTCCCACCATACCCCAGCCCTTCTGTGCAGCTGCCGTCACTCACTTCTGGCCCTGTGGGTGTTGCTGGGGAGGGTGTGCGACAGGTGAGGGTCACTTGGAGGAGAGGGATGGGCTCAGAATGGGGCTCTGGAGAGTGGATTGGAGGAAATGAGGGGGCCAGGGTGTTGTGGCTGAGGCAAGCTAGTGCGGAGCCTTGGCCCAGCCAGGAGTCCTGGGTTGGGGGAAGAGGGATGGGCAGGAGCCATCAGGCCTGTCAGGCTGGCTCTGTGGCAGCTCTGAAGGAGGGGAGGTTGGAGGGGTAATGAGGTGGCCTTCTGAGATTGGAGTATGGGAGGAGTGGCTGTGGGGGTGAACCTGAGGTTGGTCTTGAAGTAACATATGAGGTGCGTGGGAGACCTGCAGGGTGAGGGCCGCTGAGGCCACTGTGTTGTTGGCTCTCGGGTCAGCGGGGAGGCCCGGGCAGGAGACAGACCTGGGGTATGGGCTCTGAAGCCAGGTAGGAGGGCGAGAGGAGCCCCGGGGAAGTTCACCTTGTAGGGAGTGCTTGGGAGAGGAGCTGCTGAGTAGTAGGGGTGCAGAGCCCGACTAGGAGGAGCCAGGCCCCTTCTCAGGCCTCCGCCTCACCTACTCCATCTGTGTGCCTCTCCTCCATCCAGCGTCCTTGCCCACCAGATCCCCAACGCCAGGAAGCTCAAACGGAAGGAACAGCTATGGGAGAAGCTGGCCAAGCAGGGCGAGCTGCCCCGGGATGTGCGCAGGGCACAGGCCCGGCTCCTCAACCCTCCCAAGACCAAAGCCAAGCCTGGGCCCCAAGACACTGTCGAGCGGCCTTTTTACGATCTCTGGGCCAAAGACAGTAAGTGCCTTTGCTGTTACTTGTGGGGATAAGGCTGCCATGCACAGTTGTGCAGGTTGTGCACTGCACAAGAGCACGGTTTCAAAGGGAGGTGCTCTGCAGATGTTGATTTGATGATCCTCAGCAGAGTTTGGCATCTTGATGGGGCTTCCCTTTTCCTGGTGCATTTACCTGAGGGCCACCCCCACCCTCAGCTTTGGTTCCCTTGTGCTTTCTGGTTTGTCTGACATTCAAAACCTTGGGGTCTGCGTAGTCCTTCCCTTGTCCTAGTCCTTCCTTTGTCCGTGCTTTGGTGCTGTCTCTATGGGGGGTGGCGGTGGGAGGGAGCCCTTCAGTCCACACTGGAAAGTTCCCAGCAGACACCCCTCACTGCCTCCACAGACCCTCTGGAGCAGCCCTTGGCTGGCCAGGACGCCTTTTTCCTGGAGCAGACCAAGAAGAAAGGGGTGAAGGTGAGACTGTGGCAGCAGGGCATCCTGGGCGCTGGTCGGAGGAGGATTGGGTGGTGGGAGCTGTGCTGGGGCCTTGAAGCCTCGGTCTCAGCCTGTGGCCAAGACACACACGCAGGAGCCAGCCCTGGAGTGGTGCCTCCAGAGGAGAGCACAGAGTGGCGGTGGCGGCAGCAGCAGGAGGGGCTTGGGGATGAACAAGTCTTCACTGGTGAGAGGCCTGTGCAGACAGGGTCTACCTGGGCGGGCGGGTGGCCTAGCAGTGCCCAGATGGGAGGGAAGACAGAAGGGTCTCCAGGCAGAGGACAAGAGAGCAAGGGTGGGGGTGTGGGGCAGGCTGGGGAGGAGGCTGGCCTGGTGGGAAGGGGCACAACTCAGGGTTTGGGGTTTTACTTTGGTTTCATCTAGGAGGGAAGGGGCAGCCCTGGAACCCAAGACAGCACCCTTGGGCAGTTGGGGGTGGGGGCAGGGGGCTTCCAGGGTTACCCTCAGGCTTCTGCTGGGGTGAAGGCCAGATGGGCAACCACCCCCTCCGCACCCCCCACCGCGGGCTTGTTGAGGGCCCTGAGTCCTGATTGGACTCAGATTCAGTCCCCGTGGACCTGGGTCTCTGTGTTTGTCACAAGCTGGACCTAGGGCCACACTCCCTGCTCTGAGTGATGGACAGCGCCTCACAGCCTCTGCCAATCTGCTGCAGGGTGTCACACCAGGATGATGCACTGGTGACTAAGATCAGGGTGCCCAGTGCCCCGTGTTTTTGCAAGAGTTGCCCACCATGGGGTTACAGGGCCTTCTCAGGAAAGGCAGGCAGAGTCCCTCCCTGCAGGGAGCTCTCTTGTCCTAGGGATGTGGCTCCTGTGGGTAACATGGCAGGTGGGTGGCAGGTGTCCACTGTTCCAGACGCCAGACCCGCAGACACCTCCCAGTGTGAAGGCTGTGGGCCCTGCTGAGGCCTCTGCTGTCTTCTGAGCCTGGAATCCCAGCTCCAGGCCTTGTGAGGTCTTGAGTCGTGGGGCTGCCAGGCTTCATCCTGCCTTGTCCTCCCCCAGCGGCCACCACATCTGCACATCAAGCCCTCCCAGGTCCCTGCCGTGGAGGTGACGCCTGCCGGAGCCTCCTATAACCCATCCTTTGAGGACCACCAGGTACTTGGCCTCTCACCAGACACCTCCTCTACGTCCACCCGCTGCTGGGGTGGCAGCAGTGACTGAGACAGCCCCCTGCCTGTCCTCCTGGGGCTCCTGGTCCAGAGGGCTGGGAGGAGGGAACCCAGAGGAGCTGCCAAACCTGGCCTTGGGGTCAGGGAGGGCTTCCTGCAGGAAGGGGACATCAGAGCTGAGACCAAAGGAAGAGTTTGCTGTGGGGAGAGGGGAACGGGCGTTTCAGGCATGTGCAAGGAACAGCGTGTACAAAGGCCTGGAGGTGTATGAGACCATGCTGCCTTTCGTGGAAGTCCATGGGACTTGGGTGCAGAAGACCTCTACGAACTGTTAGCAGGGTGGCCAGCTGAGGTGTGCCTAAGGCCTAGGCTAGGTAAGCATGGGCCACCTGGCTCTGAGAGTCGCTGTTTATATCAGTGATGATTTCTGTTAGGCACAGAGGTCAGGAACAGAGCGGACACCCCCCTTGCCCTCAGGGAGCACAGGATCTCAGAGAGATCAGATCATTGAGGAGACACGAGACACGTGGGCGAGTGCTGTTCAGCCTCGTTCATGATAGGAGAGTCTCTTACCCAGGAGTTTCCGCTTCTGATAAACGATGTCAGCACCCATGATGCCGAACATGAGTAGGGTGAGGTTGGCAACAAGCAGAGGAGGCCACAGACTGCAGTGCGTTCCCCTGTGGACTGACACAGGTGCTGGGGGAGAATGTGGGAAGATCAGTCTGTGTCTTGTTCTTCACGTAGCGTATCACAGAGTTCCCACATCTTAGGATTTGCCCACTCACATGCACAACTTAATGGCTTTTAGCATATTTGCAGGCTTCTGTGGCCCTCGCCCGTGGGTTAGGATGTTTTCATCACCCCAGAAAGAAACTGCACCCACTGGCCGTCACTCCCTGTGCCCGTTCTGGGTTTCACATAAATGAAACTGTACTCTGCAGAGATGAGGGACCGGGCCGACCTTCAAGAGAACTGGCAGGGCAGGCAGGAGGTTCAGGAATAGAAAGCACCTCCTGGCTGCATGGAGACACCGGGGAGACTGGGGAAGAGGAGGGGCCTGGGGCCTGGGGGGGGGCCTGGGCCTGGGGTGGGGGGCCTGGGTCATCACCCCCAACCCTTTCCCCTCCCAGACCCTGCTACTGGCGGCCCACGAGGTGGAACTGCAGCGGCAGAAGGAGGCCGAGAAGCTGGAGCGGCAGCTGGCCCTGCCCACCTCAGAGCAGCCTGCCACCCAGGTGAGCCCACACCTGCCTCTCCCCCACTGGCTGCCGCTCCTGCCTGGCCCCGCCTGGCCCCTGACACACTGTCTCCTCGCTCATACCACCCCCCCGCCTCAGGAGTCTGCGTTCCAAGAGATGTGCCAGGGGCTGCTGGAGGAGTCGGACGGGGAGGAAGAGCCAGGCGAGGGCCAGGACACAGGGCCGGAGGCTGGAGGAAAGCAGACTGAAGGAGCCGAGACATCACCCACACCTGTGCGCCTGGCCGCCGTGGAGAAGAAGACAGAGCAGCAGAGGCGGCGGGAGAAGGCCGCCCAGAAGATGGTGAGCACTGGGTTTCCAGCCCGCTTTTCCTGCTTCTCCAACAGCACCTGGCCTCAGGATGCAGCAGGGAATGTTCTAGATCAAGTCTCTGCTGCCCTGGTACTTATATTGGGGTGGGATTTACAGACCACCAGTGTACAAAAAAGGTGGTTTCTGAAGACAATGGCTGTGAAGCAGTCAGGGGAGGTGGCCCAGGCCTTGCTCTGTCGGGCCCTGACTCCACCCATCCCTGCTGCAGCGGGTACAGCAGGCCCAGGAGCGGGCTGCCCGGCTCCGGCACCAGGAGCTCTTCCGGCTACGCGGGATCAAGGCCCAGGT